CCGACGAGTGAGAATTAGTAGAGTAACCAAGTGAGAGTATTGAGATAGAGTACATGTTACATATCCAAAATTTTATTTTTCTAGGGAACAGCTGACTTTTAAAACCTGAAAGAGAATCATGTGTGATATAAATTTGACTTTTCCTTTCATTGCTTTTTTGTCATAGAGCCCAGTTTTTTGAGAGTTAGCCAACAAGGAATATTAAAAAATGTATTTCATTTGGACATGATGTGTTTTTCAGACATCTGAATTCTTAAGATACAGGCTCGAGTGACTTCTGAAGCACATATGATAGGAAGGCAAAAAGAGTATCTACTTTCTGTGGTCCTAGAATGCCTAGTTATTTAGGCTGTCTGGTTACAAAGGGTGAAGACTTGTTTTATCTGTTAGAAATTTGGTTTTGTACATAGTTTGGAAAATGACAGCCAGGAAGATATCTGGTAATCTGATTACTTTGAGCACAAATGATGCAGTTGTACCATGTTCAGCTTTGCACTGTGTAGTGTCCTGTGCAGCTACATCGGAGGGTTCTGGCTTGGCTCCTGGGAACTCACTTTGGTTACTAACTCCAGGTAGTACTTCATTTAAAAGTCCAGATCAATTGGACAATCTAAGAATTGTACACGAACTTTAATGTTAATGCTGGAGTATACCTGAATAGTTGACTGACCAAAGTAATAAAGTCCCAATGATGCCTTCAAAGATATTCTTTTTTTTCGTTTTTTGTTTTGGTACTGGGGATCAAACTCAGGACCTTGCACTTTTGAGTCAGGTGGCGGAACCACTGAGCTAAATCCCTGGCCCAAGAAATTCTTTTTAAAGATGGATTCTCTGTACCTTGAACAGGTAAGCCTATGTTCTAAGGATTGAGATGCCCCATTTCTACAGGGAGTGCTTGTTTTCTGTAAACATTGATCTGTTCTTCAGATATAAAAACCTTATTTTGTGGGAATCTACATTCAAAAAATAAAAAATGGAAACTCTGTCATGTTTTAACGTGGTGCTAGAAAAGCACACTGCATTAGCATTTCATGGTCTAGCATTTTCCACATCATATATTTTTTTTCTTAGCCGTGAAATTTCGGCAGATTGTTATGCAAAACAGTTTCATGTCTCTGTGTGACTGGGAAGACAGCTGTTAGTCCTAATGAGGAGTGCTAGCATTACAGGATTTCCGTTGATTGAGACCCACAGAGGGAGCAGAATGTTCCAGATCAGGCAGTGGTGTGTGGTGAGAAGGTACCATACTGTCAGCTGGAAGTACATGCTCGGGTGCTCTCCATGACAAGATAAATGACTTTTGCTGGAGTTTGGCAGAGTCTGAAGCTTTTCCAATGAATGGTTTAGCTCACCAGCCTCCCTGAGGGACCTGTGGTCTAAGGGTGCCTTTAAAACTACTGCTTCTTTGCCAGTTTTTTTCTTTTGATGTCCCACAATACCTGTCAAGATTGTGATTTATTAAAAACCTAATGTCTTTTAGCATTTCATTAACATAGGGTTAGAGGATCTTTTGTTGAGGCCCTGCCCCACCCCATTAATTTAGCAGAATGTTAGCTGAAATTTAACTTGGCCAAAACCTCCAAAGAGAAGTCAGTAGGCATCTTTACCTTTAGCTTTTCAAAGATGTACCAGTAGTTGAAGCTCTAAGTCTTATTGCAAACTTTGTGTAGGGAACAAAAATACCTGATTTGTAGTTCGAGTCTTACATTGTTGAATAAAGAATTCAGATGGTCACATACAGGTTTTGTAATTGACCAATTTGTAATTGACATATATATATATATATATATATATATATATATATATATATATATTTTTTTTGTTTTTTTTGGTACTGGGGTCCTTGTGCTTGTGAGGCAGGCTGTGCTTGACCAGTATTGTAAAGAGCTATTAAAAAGTGTTATAGACCTAGCCATGTGATTTTTTTTGGGGAAAAAAAAAACCCCAGATGGGTCATTGGGTTGATTTTTATAGATTTACCCTCTCAACCCCCTTCTCTCTTTATTGCATATGGCTGTGTGCAGGATTGTATCTTCCTTTAGGTGTTATGCAGTGTTTCCCACCAGGCAGGATTTGGCTTCCCAGAGACACTTTGGTTGTCACATTAGGGGAGGCGCATGCAATGGTTCTGATGCACAGAACAGAGAGGCTGCTGTATCCTAAAGTGCCTGGGATGCTCTCAAGAGAAGGCTCCTACCCAGTGTCACTTCTAGGCTAGGGAACCAGTACGAACAACTTCAAGCCATAGATGTGTGTACTGCGGCAGACTCTCACAAGACAGATACTGTTTCCATTGTATTCTTCCTGATGGTATTCCTGGAGCCTCAGTGTTATGTTGTAATTTATCGTCAGGCATTGTTGAAACTTGTTGATTCTTTTTTTTTTTTTTTAAACCGGGGATCAAACTGGGGACTTTGTGCTTGTGTGGCAGGCACAGTGAGCTAAATCCCTGGCCCTGAAACTCCTTGATTCTTAGTGACTACTCTGATGTGTTCTAAAAACCTTGTGTTAATGCAGTGGAGCTTAGATTTAATTAGAACTTCACTTGTTTCCATTTAAATTAGGTAAGTTTTCATAAATTGGGCACAGTGACTAGATAGTGCTCATCTCATCAGAAGTCTGAATGGAACATGCATTTGTATCTCACTGTACAGCTTCAGTGACAGGAACAACTGGCATTTAAATTGGAATTACTAAGTTTCAAGTAGTGGATACATATAAATTCAGGAAATAGAAATCAAGCTTTTGCCATACAAATTAATGATTTGTGAAAATAAGATGTCGTATTTCATTGATAGGTGGACATGCTCGTTATCTTGTAGAGTGATTTCAGTGCTTCATTGAGTGCTGAGATACATATATTTTAAGCTTTCATACAGAGTGAGTAATCCCAGTTTTTGTGATTGTTGGATACAGTTGTAAGGTAAAGCCTCTTTTTCTGTCAAGGTTCTGTCCTCACATCTTCTCTCTCTCTTTTTTTTTTTTTTGGTACCGGGGATTGAACTCAGGACCTTGTGCTTGTGAGGCAGGCAGCAGAACCACTGAGCTAAACCCCCGGTCCAAAACATCAGGCACTTGTCCTCACATCTTTAGATCTGCTGATTCTGGCCTAGGTGGTCCAAGGCCACTCCCCAGGTGGTCCACTCATGGGGATATTCTTCACTAACATATAGATTAAAATGGATACTTGGCACCAAGCTAGGCAGGAAGTCCTGTGAAGGCCTGTTGAAGAGATGAATGGGAACTCATCTGCATATAATAAAAATGACCCAACATGCCTTATAAGTATTCCTCTATGATATTGTAAATCATGTTTTAAAGAATGTGTGCATAAGTTTCCCAGTTCACTGGGAAAGTAAGATTTTTATTGCATTTTCTTACTGCACTTTGCTAGTGAAGAGAGAGATGATTGAATTTAGACTTTTCTTCTTCAAGTGTCATTTTATTTCAGTGCTATCTTCTAACAAGTGATTGGCAACTTTCCTTTGAGTGGAAGTTTTGCATCACTGGTTAGCATAGTAACCATAGCCACCACTGACTGGGACTACCTCAACCAGGAAAGAGACATAGTTTTGTTTGAAAATTTTGATTGGGTTTCTTCAAAGATGCTATTCAAGTGATGACATCTGTTTATATTTTTGAACATTTTCATCATTTGTTAAAACAGATAGATATACTTAACACCATATCAGACAATGTATTTTCATTTCAAGAGCAAAGTTTATGAAATAGTTTAACACAAAATAAATGGCTTTTTGTCCTCTCATTTTTATAGCACTTTTGATGTATAGCATATGATTCTTAGATCTTTTTGTCTTTATCATTTCAGGTCCTTTGTTATGTGACCCCCCCACATGTATTTTACATTTAAATTAAAATTTGTTAATTGGCTTGGATTACATAAACAAGTTCAGAGAGAGGGGTTCTAATGTTGAATTTTTCTTCTTAAACTTTAAAAATTTAAATATACACAACAAAATTTAACCATTGTAATCATTTCTATGTATACAGTGGCATTACATAAATTCACATTTTTGTGCGATCATTATCACTATTAGTTTTCTGAACTTTTTCATCATTCCAAACAGATACTCTGTACACCTTAAACTCTGCACTCCTACCTACCTCTGAAACCTATATGACCTCTATTCTATTTTCTATCTCTATAGATTTACCTATTCCAGGCACTTGATATAAGTAGGATCCTTGTTAGTAATACTGTTATGAACATTGAGTGCTTGGTTTCATTTATTTTTTCTGGATCTTACATTACTTTTGTGTTTAATTGATGAACTAATACAATGTTTTCCACCATTTTACATTCACACCAGAAATGCCACAAGGATACTAATTTCTCTACATCTTTGCCAACACTTACTTTCTGGGTTTTTTTGATTTAACTTTTTGGTAATAGCCATCATAATGGGTGTGTAGTTGTATCTCATTGTATTTTTGATTTGTGCTTCCCCTGATGATTAGCGATAATATCTTTTCATGTGCTTTTTGTGTATATTCTTCGGAAAAATATCCCTTGAAATCATTTGCCATTTTTAAACTGTTGTCAGAATACTTTTCTCTGACTCCCATATTCTGATTAAATTGGTTGAGAGTTGCAGTTTTAAAAAAATTCTCTATCATCTGACCCAAGTATATAAAAATTTTTGTCTAGTCCTTATTTTTCTGGTAACTTCTCTTTGCTTCATTGCCTAGAAATGGTGAACTAGAGTGGTAATAGTCTGTATTTTCCTACTCTACTGAGAAATCAGATACCCTTATTTAACACACTTAAAATGGGAAGAATTTAAGAGATAGGAGCAGGTTGCAGAGTAGTAGAAGACCACTGTCAGCTTGCATGTCTCCAGTCTTCTTTCCACCCCTTCCCCCTGCCATCTCTGGAAGCAGGACTGTGTCTAGCATGCAGCATGGGAGAGGAGTGTTGTAGCATCCCATCCTGCACCCTTACTTTTGAGGAGTCTGACCGTCTACCCTTTACTTTGTAGCACTGTGACCTCGGCTGTGTTCACTGTGGGAGACAATGTTGTTTCAGGCAGTGATGACCGCACAGTAAAAGTCTGGGACTTAAAAAATATGAGATCCCCAATTGCAACCATTCGCACAGACTCTGCCATTAACAGGTAAGGGTTGATTGTAATGTGATGCTTTATTGTATAGATCTAGTATTTAGTTGGTATAACCTTGGGAAAATGGCTTAGACTTTGGGAATATATTTTATTTTATTTTATTTATTTTTTTGGTACTGTGGATTGAACTCGAGTCCTTGCGCTTACACAGCAGGCAGTGAAACCACTGAGCTAAATCCCTGCCCCGGGAATATATTTTATTGACCCTCTAATCAAATTCAGTATTCTAGAAATTGTCAGACATGTTCAGTATAAAATCAGTTTGAGGGCCAGGGATTTAACTTAGTGGCACTGTGCCTGCCTTGCAAGTGCAAGGTCGTGAGTTCGATCCCTGGTACCAAAAATAAATCAGCTTGATAGAGTTATAAGTAAAAGACATCCTTGAAATGTGAATAATGTGGAGTATCCTACTGTATCATCTGTAAATTCAAAAATTTATGTTGCTACCTTTTTACATATAGACCATTTTTATCTCTTCAGGATCAATGTATGTGTTGGCCAAAAAATCATAGCCCTTCCCCATGACAACCGACAAGTGCGATTGTTTGATATGTCAGGAGTGCGACTAGCACGGCTTCCCCGGAGCAGTCGACAGGTAACAGTAAATACACGTTCACAAAGCATGTTAGAGAAGAACTTGGAATTTCACACCTTAAATTACTACTGTTCAGTAGAAATCACATATGTGATTTTTAGTTTTTCAGTAACCTCATTAAAAAAGCAGAGAAATGAGAGAAATGAATTTTATTTATTTTATTAGTTAAGTTTATTGGTATAATTTAGATGTACATAATGATCATATTCATCATATGGAATTTGTACCTATACATGTTATATCTTGACTCTTATTTTTTCCCATTCCCCTCCCCTCCTTTCAACCCCCTTTCCCCCCGCTTATTTACAAAAGCATTGTTTCCATTTTATCTTATTTTTCCTCCCTCCCTCCTTCCCTCCCTCTCCCTCCCTGCTTCTGTCCCTTCCTTTTTTCCTCCCTCGCCACTCCGTAGTGCCTCTTCCCATTTTCTTCCTGTTTCACAATGTCTGTTACACATTTTGGTCCTTATTTACTTTTTCAGTGAGAAATCAACTTCAACATATATTTTATTTAACCAGATATACCCCAAATCATATAATTTCAACATGTAATCAGTGTAAAAATGTTAGAAATATTTTACATTCATACTTTCTTACAAGTTTTGGGGTGCTAAATTTTCATTGGAAATGCTTGATCTGTTTTTAGAGTTTGCAAGATTTAAAGTTGAAGAAAGTAGAGTCAACGTAATCAAGTTGTTCCAGACTAGTACTTCAGTATCCTGAGTATCAGTATTTGAGTTTAAAATTAGATATGATCAAATATTCATTTCTCCAGTTTCCTTAGGCATGGTTGATGAGCTTATCAGCAGATGTGTTAATGGCTGCCATATAGGAAAGCAGAACTTTAGATTTTTTTCAGTTAAGCTTATACAGGGTGGAACTATATGAAATAACATGTCGTCAGGCAGGAGTGGTGTTCATCATAGTGGGAGTGGGAGCTCTTGGAGGCGGGAATCCTTGCCTTTGCTTCCAACCAAAAAAAAGCCACCTTTGTAATGGCATGCTGTCATGAGAAGAAGAAATTATGTTTTAAATGTTACTTTCTTATAAATTAAGGGATTGTTCCCTGCTAACTTCAGATGTGGTATAGAGGAGTTAGCTGGTTATTTCTATGTGTGGTTGAGATTCAGACACCAGCTCAGCACAACCAAGTCAAAATCTCCTATAGAGACACTTAGTAGCCTAAATTTAGGTGATTCTGTAGGCCATTCTTTGTTCTTTGAAGTTGGGTCCAGATTTTTAGCATGGATGTTAGTTAGTTAGTGGCTGTTTTCCATTAGTAGGTAACAGAAGTGGCTTTAATAAAAACTCCGTTTCTTGTCAAGGCAGCATTTCTTCAGGCTTTTGTGTTTGAGTCCCACAGCCAGTCATTCTCATTTTTTTGTTTGATTTCTTCTTTGATTATTGTAATATCTGTATGATGAATAATCCAGTTCATTCTGTTAATGAATCCGTTCCTGATACTTTCAGTCCACTGCCCATGTCTGCATGCACACATGCCTCTAAACATTGCCAAACATCCAGTACAACATTCCCTAGGATTGCTGCCTTCTGGCTGCTCCTGTTTTTGATACACCTTGTTGTTGAAACTAGTCTCATTTCATGGTGTAAAAGCCTCAAAGTACAGTTCATGAGCTATAAGCCGGATGTGCACTAGATGTGCCCTTCAAAAAACTATAGACTAAGAGCAGTTACAGGGATAGACTGTGAAGTGGAGATTTGGCACTTACAGAAACACCTTTTCTTTATGTGGCAGGCAGTTTCTGAAAAGTATCTCTGTCCTTATGCAGAGGTATTTCAGCCATTTTTCTTTTCTACATAATTTAGCTGTTTGTGTGAAGTTAATTATTGATCTTTTTATCAATTCCTCACGAAATTAGAGTAAATATTTTAAAAGCTTCACAACTTTTAGCATATCCCTGAATTGCATATTCAGGAGAATTTTTAAAAAATACTTTAATAACTGCTATGTATCACTGACATCATCTAAGCAGCATCTTCACAGTAAAGTGTTCTCTTTTAAATCAGCTCTATGTGTATTTTAAGATTGCTTTGCAACATACAAAGTTTGCATTTGAAACAAATTTATAAGAAAATATGGCTTCATTACTTTGAGAATGTTTTCCTTCAAGAAAGGAGTTCCAAATGGTCCTTTTTGGTCCTAAATCCATGTAGACAATTTCATTTTAAATTACCTATAAACAGGGCCGGGGATTTATTTAGTTCAGTGGTTCCAGTGCCGCCTCGCAAGTGCAAGGTCCTGAGTTCGATCCCCGGTACCAAAAAAAAAAAATTACCTATAAACATTCAGTCTTACTGGAATTCAGAATTTTGTTGTGTTTGGAATTATTCCCTCCTAAAGTGATACATGAAATAGATTTGTTTTTAAGATTAGCAAAAAACATTTCACTTCATTTTGAACTTGTAACACTTCTTCAGGTAAGTAAATGTAGTTTCTGTGTCACAGAACCATAGCTAGGAATCACTGGCTAATATTTGTAACTGCTTTTAGCTGACCTATTTTAAAAAGAGAAAAAAACACTTATGGAACTTTTAAGAAGTACAATAGAAGGGACTAGTAATTTAAAGTTGTTTTACTTTGGGGATAGTGCAAGCAGCATTTCCCAAAATTGTGTTTCAGGAAGGTAAGCTTTATGGTCTGTTAAGAGGAATTCCCGGGTAAGAAGGTACTGAAGTGAGGTCAGTTGTGAAATGTTAGGTTTATAGAGAAAACAGGATCCTGTACTGTGAGTGTCCTGAGTGTATGTTGTGACTGTCTGTGGAGGGGATAGAACATCTTTACAGTGTGTTCATTTGTGGATCCTTTTCTGGGTATGTGATTATGCCGTGAGCATGTGAGATGTAGAAATCTCCAGCTTTCCCTGGCAAATGTCAACTTTTCAAACCAAGGGATATAGCTTTCAGCTTTCTCTGTGTAGCTCCTGGCCGTGTGATCTTTTTCCTTTATTGTCAAGTACATGAATTCCTTGTATTTGTTTTCTTTTCTAGTGCTGGGGATTGAACCCATGCTAGACAAGGGTTCTTCTATTGAGCTGCATCCGATCCCTGACCTTTTTTTGTTTGTTTCTTTTGAGATGGTCTTGTTAGGTTGCCCAGGCCAGCCTTGAACATGACAGTCCTCCTACCTCAGCCTCCTAAATAATTGGAATTATAGACTTGCACCACCATGTCTAGCTTTCATTTATCATTTAACAGTTCTTGTGCAAAGGCTTGACTTTCTCCCTCTCAACAATTAATAGAAGGTACTTTTTATGTCGTCTTTTCTTTTTCACAATTACTTTATTTTTGTGGCCTATTGCAGTTCTCTCTCCAGATACATAAACAGCATTATTTATATGTGACTGTTTTGCAGAGGAGACTTTTGTGCCATTCTTTGAATAATTCTTTTACTTAATAAATTTATCAGTGTTAGTAGTAATTTTTTATTTTATTGTGTGATATAACAACATATTACAGCTATTTTATTGTTAGAAAATACAGGTGACAGTCTAAGCACTGGGCATTACCTTAAGCGCTTATATCAATAAACAAAACCACTAATATGTCACACTGTAAGCTTTGTCTAATACTTCACAGTAATTTCCCCAGCATTATGATATTTAACTGGATTTCCTGAAAATGCTAGGAATATTTCTGAAAGGCTTTTATTTGGTGCCATGTGTATTTTTCCAGTTCTTTTATTACTTACTCAACCAATTATTTATAAAATAGTATTTGAGGTCTTTGAGTGAATTTTATTTAGCTTATCTTAAAATATTCTCTAGACCCTTTACTCGTAACATTTACAAATTAATGAGTTATTTTTGTGTTTCATTGTAGTCTTTATTTTCCTAAAGGTTCTCAAAGTGCGAGTCACACTTCATTCATCCTTCCTGATGTCACACATGTCATGGTGGCTTGACTAGCACATCACTGAAAGCCATGCTCAGTATTTTTGGCTCACTTGGACTTCGTGTGTGTGTGTGTTTCTCCCTTTTAATTATTTTGAACAGTATTGTTGTTAATTTAGCTGAAGTTTTGTAAATCTTATTTCTGTAATAATGCCCTAATTTGGTTTTGTTTGATTATTGATAGGGCCACAGAAGAATGGTGTGCTGCTCAGCGTGGAGTGAAGACCACCCCATATGCAACCTGTTCACCTGTGGGTTTGATAGGCAAGCCATTGGTTGGAACATCAACATTCCTGCATTGTTACAAGAAAAATAAGGTCGCCAGTGTTCCTTAATTTTGTGGTTTGCCATGGACCTTTGATTCATGCAGCCTTTTCTGCATATTAATCAGCCATTTTTGTGAGAGTTTGACCCTGGGAAGGGTGCTTTATATATGTTGTTTTCACATTGTGCCCAGCTTGCATGAAATGTACAGAAAAATGTTTGATCATATTTTTTATTTTTCCCATATATATATATATATATATATATATATATGTATATATATTGGCATCTTCTGGTCAGTAGAAGTGAAGCTCACCTCCCATGTAGCACATTCAATGCTTGTGAGTTGTTGACATTTGAGAGAAGAACAGTAGGGCATTACATGTGTGTGAATTAAATGTGAACCTATGTACTTACCGTGAGGCATAAACAGTCTGTTACATTTTCTGGAATAATTATACATATCTACCTTGTACTGGGAAGATTGCAGAGCTGCATTTGCATTGGCTAGTGAGTGACAGGAATGAGCAAAGATTTCACATTTACTTCTGTATGACATTTTAGCATGTGCTGTTGTTAAAACTGAATTAGTTTTAACTTTTAATTTCTATTATAGTTATGTAAAAATAACCTGGATTTGCAACATTCAGAGTTTCTTTTGAGAAGAAAACATTTCTGTTCTTTTTATAGAAAATCATTTCAAACTCCTGAGGTCTCATACTAGCAAATTCAACAATACGATTCTAATCACCAATTTTAGATATTAAGCAAAATTTAAGCACTTTAGTTTAAAGCTGTGGTTATAAACAGTTTTTAGAAGTTTCAAATGATATCCATTGAATGTGACTTGACCTTTATAAGAAAGCCCTGCTACCTGAAAGCAAAATCTTATTTATTTTTTACATCTTTGGTTTGCATATTTCTAAAATGAGTTCACTTCCTTGGTGGTATTTGAGAGCCAACAATGCAAATAAATGAGTACTACCTCAAAAATAAATATTTGGGAAACTTTGGAGTCTCACTGTTACCTAGCTAAAGCACTTTTGATGTAAAGCTGGAATACTGAATTCAATATAGAAGGCAAGAAAGACAATCATACCAAATGTACCTTGAAGTTAAAAGGTTCTTCAGTTAGGCTAATAAGATGATTACCATAACAACTAGTTCACAGGTAACCAGGATACTTTTGTCTTGAGTAGCTGGGATGCCTGTCAGTGCCAGTTCTGCTGTTGTTCAAGTGAGCCTGTTATTCTTGCCTTCTCAGAAATTACTGTTCATCTGATATTTGTAAGTTAATGTTTCTTGTTGAGTTACAGTTTTGGTAAAGAGACATCTCACTTACTGCCCCTCTTTATTTGTACTGTAATCCTTTACATGTGGCCTTTTGGAGGCTGATCACTTGGAGAGGCACAGAAAAGAAGGTGATATTTAAACTACCACAGTGACACACTTCCCACCCCTCCCAGTTCTTTATGTTTACCCTTGTTTGGTGGTGACACAGGAGGGCAACAGAGCAGGTAACTGGTTAGTAGCCAGTGGATAAAGTGTAGTACTGTTGTACATGGGACATTTGAGTGTTCTTTGGTAGAACAAGGACAAGAGTGAGAAATGCCTTGTTATTGGCACATTTTACATAGGTCCTACAAGATTTGATCTTAGGAACTTCATATCTGAATCATTCAGAAATGATTCTGAAATGACTGGTATAGCCAGGAAAGAGGGACCCAGGAATAACCAATAATGATGTAGTACAGAGTTGAGGTTGCTAACTAAGAGACAAACCATGAGTGTTTTAAAGTAATTTTATTTCTTAAGCCCAAAAATTTATTGTTTTTAAAGTCCAACATTTTCTCATCACTAGTTCTGACCAGTGTTTGTTGAGAACTGACGTCAGGCTGGTCGTCATTGTTGTTGATTAGAATTTCAAGTCTCAGCACTCCTCCTGTCCTGAGTGTATTTTGCTTGTACTGAATCAAGGTATGTGCTGTGGCCTAATTTTACCTTAAAGTGAGAGATGATTGCCACATCCCCTCTCCACTGCATATGCAAAGCAGAAACATACATGACTTACAATGGTGAGCTGCACAGGCTACATTCTTGGGTTCCTTGTGTTTTAATTTGGAAGTGTGGATGTCTTAGGATGATAGGAACATTAAAAATGTATACAAATAGTGAAATCAAACCTAGAAACCAGATTTCTGCCAGATGAAAATATTGTGAAGCTTTTAAAAATATGTATTTATGATGGCCATTTAGTTCTATGCAGACTAGTGACTTTCACTGCCAATAGCTGCTCACCTTCTCTTGCTAATTGGAGGGACCAGCCTCTGACACCAGAATTGAGGCTCCTCACTCATTTCCATGAGTGTGGAAGACGCTAACGGTGCTTAAGCAGAGTTCTCAGGAGCAGGATGTGACTTACTGTTAACTACTGTGTCATCTTCTAACGTAATTTTATCCCACTGCTGCTGTGGCCATAAGTGTTGTTATTTTCAAGGGATTAGGAATAGTGCATGTGTGCTGGGGTGTGTGTGTATGCGAGTATGTGTATATGTGCATGTGGCGAAAATTAAGTCATATTACCAGCCACATGTGATCTCATCTGAAATAGTGTTTGGAAATAGGAACACTATTATGTGCTGACATGTCCAGAATTTCATTTAATAATGGAAGGAAAATGTGTGGTTATTTAAAAATGTATGTTGATACAAAATTTCCTAAGAGGTTTTGTTGTTGGACAAAACAGGACTTTTTCTCAAATACTGCACACCAGTTTCTGTAGAGTCAAGTGTTCTTTCTGTACATACTTTTGGGATCTGAAGACTATGTAAATCATGTGTTACTTAAATCTGTGAAAAAAAGTTTGGAGGAAAAAGTACGCATTTATGAGTGTCCTGTGGAATCAGTTATTTTTATTGTATTGATGTAATTGTTTTTAAGTGTTAAGTGTCTTCATTGCAATATGAAATTCATTAAAACATCCATGTTCCATAATTACTATTATAAAAGTTTTACGTTATTGAGTCTGTTATTATTTTTACTTTTTTTCATGTTTGCTCTGTGAAACATTAATAGTTATTTAATATCATAATTGCCTAGAAATTAATCAACTTATTGCCCACTTGAGAAATTTCAATTTTTTTTTAATTAAATTCTTTTATTGGTACATTGTAGATATAAAACACAATTACATTTCTCATTGGGAAATGTATCTTTACATAATGCATCTTGGTTCTTATTTTTTCCCCATTCCTAGCCCTCCCTTCATGCCCTCCACTCTTCCCTATTTACAAAGACTTTATTTCCATTTTTTCCATTTCTCATCATTTTCTCCTTTCCCTTCTTTCCTTTCCCC